TCATTACTCCATTCTGCAGTGTCACTTATTCAAGATATTGACATTTTATATTATCAGTGTTGAAGACAGTTGTGCTAACCATGATGTGGCAACCACAATGCTTTTCTCAGCATTCTTTTCTGAACAGAAAGTTCAAAAGCAGAAATTTGCTATGTAATATTTTACATGCAATTACAATGAATGGGACCTTCACAGCTTCAAAAATTATGCAAAATTCACAACAGACGTAGCATAAAAGTGGTCCATGTAGCTTACAATGCATATATTCCATGTCTTCTTCCTAGCACTCCTACTGGTGTTCATGAGAGAAGTGCTGTCCGATTGGTGAACAAACAGTTCTTTTGAGCAAGATCTTTTCAACTAATCGGTTGATTCAATTCACAAAACCTCTCTGATCTAGCTCTAGATGACACAGTCAGTTCTCGGGTTAACAGCTCACAGAATATTCCCATGGAAAGATTTTAATTTGCTCTATTTCTGAACCACAGCTATTGTATGGCTTCAAACAGCACACGAGTGTATGGATCATCTTCCCAAAGCTTTGTGCTCATTTTTGTAGCTTTAAAGCTACATATTCATTGTGTGGTAATTGGATGGAAAATAATCTCTTTATTGTGTTCCACATAAGAAAGTAAGCCATACAGGTTTGGAACGACATGAGGGTGAGTAAATGATGACAGAACTATTTTTTGAGTGAACAGTTCATTTAAACTAGATGGAGAAGTTTCAAGTGTGTAAACACTCTGAGAGGCAAGGTGGGGTTTGCGATCGGTTTATGTACTAAAAGAAGATGCCAGAACGTCCTTGAAAGTCCTTTGAGAGTCAGTGTGTTTAACCGAAAGTAAGGGAGAGACACAGACCCTGCGAGGAGGAGTGTGTGTGCTGAGGTGTGAATAATAAACGCTAAAAATAGACCAGGAGGTGAACCTCCCATCCGCACCTATACTCACTGCTCTTTATTGACCCCTCAAAATGCGCATCTTTTTATGCGCGTGTGCGAATGGGAAAGACGGTGATACACGCATGGGCAAGTTTGCGTACATGTAATTTGATTAGTATGCAAGCCCGCAGCTTTGAGATCTGTCTCGTTCTTGAAGAAACACACCGAACGGTGTCCACTGATTCTTGCCTGACTATTCCATGTCAAAGTCTGCCTTCTGTTCCACCGTCCGCTGCCAGCCAGTGTGCACTGTTTGAAAACATCCATCCATCCATCTCATCTTTGGCTTATGTAGCGGTATGTTGTAAAGTCTGATTCCTGGGTGGGAGTTTGTAGCGGAGTTATAATGCAGGAGGTGGAGAGGGCTCGACCCTCTGTTTCTCCACCATCAATCAGCCGGTAGATAAAGGTGGGCCGCAAGTCACTCCACAACAGTCTTTGTCTGTTTTTACAGCTCCCTCAAGGCCGAAGCTGTATTTAGTCCAAATCACTGCCAAATCTGCTCCTCCTTGATAAAGAGAGGCTGAACAGAAAGACGTTCAGCAAAGCAGAGCCAGCACCGACTTGCTGACATTAATTACAGTTAATGCATGGGCAGAATGGACGAGGTGAGAGGAACTGAATATTGATTCACCATATATTTTGGCTGGGTGGGTGCCTATGAATACTGTGCCTTCCTATCCTACTATATGCCTGTACAGCACTTTTTGCTGCAAAAACATTTTTTACCAGGTAATAAAAATGTGCTTCAAGTTCATATCTATCTATCTATCTATCTACTAGATTTTATTTAATATTACTGACTCAAACTGATTACATTATTAAGTAAAATGTGGTGGAAGTAGTGCTATTAAGGGATAGTTCACCCAAAAATGAAAATTCTGTCATTTACTCACCCTCCTGTCGTTCCAAACAAATAAGACGTTTATTCTTTTTTCATTCAACACAAATGAAGATATTTTTAATTAAACCTGAGCCATTGCACTACGGGCGTCCTGAGTTCAAATGCTGACTCAAGGACCTTTTCCGATCCCGCCCCCCTATCTCTCTCCCACTTTGCTTCCTGTCAGTTCTGATCTTAAATAAAAAAAAAAAAAAACTGAGACATTTTTGTCCCTCGATTTAAAATCTACTGCACCATACTTTGATGCTTCAAAACGTTTATAAATACATTTGAACAGAAAATCATATGAATTGAGCAGTTTAATCCAAGTTTTCTGAAGAGTCACGATCACTTTATTTGGTCAATATTTTGTTTAGGTTTTTATTCACATATAAACATTGTTTCTCTTCAGAAGACACAATCTTTATAAGCAGGGATAAATTACCCCATGATTTACTCACCCTCAAGCCATCCTAGGTGTATATGACTATATATATATATATGACATCCTAGGTGTATATAAAAGTGTGGAGCACTTTTATGATGGATGGATGTATTTTTTGGGCTTTGAAATCTTGACCCCCCATTCACTGCCGTTATAAAGCTTGGAAGAGCCAGGACATTTTTTATATATAACTCTGATTGTATTCATCTGATGTCATTCATCATCTGAATAAATGGTAACAGAATTTACATTTTTGGTTGAACTTTCCCTTTAAAATTTCAACTGCAATGTTTCACTTTAGTTTAACTAACATATCCTAAAAGATTATTTCTCAAAATATGAACTCAAAAGTAAAGAGTGTTGGGTTTTAGCTGAACGAAAGCTAAACATGTAATACAGGTCAGTGCTTCTGACTTGATGCCACTTAATGAGAGAACAGGCCACTGCTATACTCCTTATGTATTACGTAACACTAATCATTCACACACTGGATGCATGTCTGTTCATCACCATAACAACCTTTTCAGTCCTCTTCAGTTAATGGTTATCTAATATGATTGGGTGGGTAACTGCATTAACTGCCTAGTGAATTTAATACACTAATATACTAGTACTATATCTATCCTTATGAATAGAATCTGAAAATGCTTATACTGAAGAAGAAAAGAGGGCTATGGGCTTGAAGGATGTGGGATGGTGGAGTGAGGGCCCTCCTCTTTTTTGACCCTAACAAACCCTTTCACCACACATCTGACGGTCATTTGTTCTTTTACTCATTTGCTTGTAGTCAGAGTTAATTAACTGAATTAGCCTTCTGGGGTCTGACACTTAGAAAGGAGGACCTAAGCCGATTTCCAAGAGCCTGCAATGTGTGTGTATGTGTGCAGGCATATTTATTTATTTTTTCTTTCATGCTAAGCTTGTTCAGTTATAATTCTTGTTCAATCAGTGTGTTTCTAACAGGAAAATTGCAACCATTACATCATCAAAATGTTTTGACAGGTGAACTGTGGTAAGATCTAAATGATCTGGTTTTAAATGAAACATTGTTTAAAATGACTGAATTAGACTATATTAAGTTACACCAACAGTAGATTGTTAGAGATCATCAGGTAACTTTTTACAGCAAATTACTTACACAAATTATTCTTACAAAATATTCTAATATTCTTACAAAAATACATGTTTTCACTTTGCAAGACTTTAATTGATGGACTGGATTATTGTGATGTTTTTATCAGCTGTTTCGACTCTCATTCTGACGGCACCCATTCATTGCAGAGGATCCACTGGTGAGCAACTGATGTAATGCTAAATTTCTCCAAATCTGTTCTTATGAAGAAACGTTCATATAAAGTTTCAGCAAATTTTCATTTTGGAGTCCTTTGTCTTTTATCCTCCTTTGATCATTCAACTGTCCTGATACAGTAACTGTGTTTTTATTTATGACACATAAAACAAACATGGCTGACAAAAGTAGTAGTACCAAGTGCCTCTAAAATCTTTTCTGATTCCAGATGATTCAGTTAGGTAAAATATAATTAAAAAAAGAAAGAAAGAAAGAAAGAAAGAAGCTGGATCTTCTACACTTTTATTCAGGCATTATTTGTAATGTAACATTTTTTTTGTTGTAGTGTACTTCCCACAATGGAAAATATGTCTGTCCACTGTATTGGACTTTGATGGGTATATTTTGAGCATTTCAATGGAGATTTCCATAAATTTCTATTGTGATTATCTTGTAATATTATAGGAATATTTACATCATGATGTAATGCAAAAAATAAATTATGTAATTGTATTTAATTATGTGAATACAGAGCAACAGCAACAGGAATGTATATATAATATGAATATTATATGAATAATATAATAACAGTTCATTATGATATTTATACAATATGCTTTTTTCTTTCTGTCCTTGTTTTTTTTTTTTTTGGTGGGGGTATCAACAAATGGTCATTTACGTAGATCACTTTAGAATACAACCCTAAATGGATGAGTCCAGATGAGTCACAAATGGGTTGGAATCATTACATTCTTGTTTTGAATTGAAAAGAAAACCTTAAACTTTCTTTTTCCGTAGTGCTAATGCATGCATCAGGGGGTTAAAGACCCATGCCTTCTGTTTCCACACGCACACTTCAAGCCATTTCTGCAACCTCGCTTTATGATCATGACAATTTAACACAAGCTTTGCAACTATCCAAACCATTCCTGCGAGGCAATGCTGAGTGATAAACACAAATTAAATGTTATCTCCGTCAAGAGTAGACCCCAGAGAGACTCTAAAAATCACATCTCAGCAGTTGTGGCGGTTGCGGCTCATTGCCATAATGATGTGTATTATCATTCAGGCTTACAGTGCCATAACCGATGCTCAGCACTTCTGCGCACAATGAGAAACAGCCAACATGCCGCCGCCGTGATTCTATATTAATGCGCTACAGCACGCGCTGTGCGCAACTTACAGGAAAATATGGACATAATATATCCGTTAACACTCAGGTCATACATGAAATATTACCACATCACCAGAGTGATTGTATAGATTCATAGTCCACCACCAAGCATCTCCAAAAGAGCTACGGTTTGCTTCCATACATCTATGACAATATCATATAGCCTACATGACTGTGCTCGCGCAGCAACCTTTATTACGTAGGCTACGACTTGTTTTGCGAATAATAGCCTCAGCGTAACGTTTCCCCTGCTTTGACCAGATAACTTACTTTTCACAAAGGCGAGGATGCAGAAAAGCGTCCACAGAGCCATCATCTCAGCGAGGACTGGGAAGCATCTGCCGCGCGTGAACTCCTCTCTCCCGTGTGCACGTGCGGTCGTGAGTATCGGAGCGTGACTTTGTCGAGGTGGACACGCGCGCGAGGGTTAAAGATATTTTCTTTCTTCTCGACGTTATTCGGTACCTGGCATCGTTACGTCAGCGGCTGTAGGTCGCTGAACGCGTGGTTTTCCCCAGCGATGGAGTGGGAACGGTTTTATGAGCAGCCAGGTAGACGAAGGACTAGTCGCGGTGCGCGAGAGGAGATGAGAGGACTAGAGATGCGACGAGATGACAGAAACGGCGAAGGGGAGGGGCGGGGCGGGGGAGGCAGGCATACCTCAGATTCCCCTTCACTACATCCGGTTACATAGAATGTGTTTTTTCACAGGACACTTACCATTTCCTTTACAAGGTCATTTGGTCCACCTGAAGACTCGCAGTGCCTCTCAGAATTAAGGGGATTTTCAGTGACAGCACATTCTGTGAAAATATCGAAAATAGTTTCTCTGTCTAGGAACTATGACTTCAAAAAGTAATCAGAATATTTGAGTACAATTACAGTTTCCACAAAAAACTAGTCATGAAAGGTGTAACTAATTCTGTTATAGATCTACTTCCATCAAACGGGTCATTAAGAAGTGGTGGAGAATTGCAAGCAATCACAGAAGTTCTTTTCATTGCACAAATGGTTCTTCACGGTGTTAAAAGGTTCTTCAGATTGTTTTTGCTAATAAAAAAATCTTGTAAGAATTGTTCCATGGGAGGTTCTTTGGTTAACCCAAAATATACATACCTCTTAATATTATCAACAAGACAGCTTGATCATTTTACTCTTTAAGCACTGATAAAAACTTTTTGTCTAGATATAACAGGAAATGTGGACCTGCACTCTCAAAATACACTGCAAGCGAATTATGCAAAGCTGCGGAACTTTGCAGGACTCTAACAGTAAACTTGCATTCACACTGTAGCTATGATTATTATAACTGACCATGAATATTCTAGAATGTGTGATGTTGTGATTCTCGATTCTTTATATAATCTGTTCAGAATTTGAATGAGAGTTTTGTTTTTTGTTTAGTGAACAGTTCTTAAAATACATGTTTTCTTAGTGCAAAATAATAATAATAATAAAAATCTATGATTTATAAAACAGCTCTCAAATTGTATTGGATTTGTAGCCTACATAAAGTCATTAACTGAAATTAATAACCGTTATTACAGTAATAATCAACATTTAGCATGTGATTTTTTTCTAATAATCTCTTTACCTTCACACATCACATACACATTTTGCCGTCAACCATCCAGCTGTTGTAAGACAGCATCACCCTACTCCAACATCAGGAAGTGAAGCTCGCTCTGTATGGAGACTTACGCTTCATTTGTTTTGCCCCAGGGGAGCGGGTGGCTGGGTGTGAGTTTTTCAAGGAGATGGGTATCGTCTCTCCACCAGTCAGCATCGGTAACATCACCGTATGATTGAGTCCTGTCCCCACATCACAACCGCTCTTTCAACCAGTGGTTCTGCTGTTGCTGTGTGTCAAAACTCAGTGCTCAGCGTTCCAGAAATAACCGTCGCTTCCGGGGAGATGATGGGGTCTCCCAAGCTCTCCCCGTCTCCTAGTTCACTCTCTCTGCGTCTCAAAGCACTCACAATGTTTATGGCTCTCTCTGTCTTCCATTACATATTCACTTACACCCTTTGGCCAAAATGTCTATTTCTGCATTTTCTCTTGGGGGATCCCTATAGATGACCTCGGCTTTAGATCCCTGAAGACACTATGGGGGGAGGAGGATGGAGAGAAGGATGTGGAGACATTACAAGAAAGGGGAAGAGAAGAGAGAATGGATTAATAGAGAGAAAGAGCGAGCAGGGAGGTGGAATTAATGCGCAGGAAAGCAAAAGCTTGGTCACTGGTGACTCACTGGTTGACTGTTACGTAGGTATTCATGTCCTATTCACACCATAGTGTACAGCTATGCTCTTTATGAGCAGTGAGTCACACAGAACTGAGGATATCTCAAGCTTCTTGGCATATGTCTTCCATATTCTGACTTAGTACAAAGTATTGGGAAAATGTTGTAAATGGAGAGATGATAGGAAGCAAATGTGAAGAAGATCTTTAAAAAGTAAGAGTAATAATAATTGTCATCATCAACATCAGGGCAAAAAGCATCCTCCACCGTGTTCGACCTTACCATGTAATGTATTTACATATTTATGTAATGTATATTTAAAGGGGCCGTATGCCAGCAACTTATTGCTCATGCTCGGCCTCGCCCACGCATAACGTACAGTACAAGAGACTGAACATGATTCGGTACCCCGAAATACTCGCGGTGAAGTTCTTTTTCATTCTTTGCTTAGAAGTAAAAAGTTGGAAATACCTTTGTAGCAAAATACATATTAACAGCCACACTGCTGAGAGTGACGTTAATATGAATATGTAAATATGTGCTGTGCACATTCCTCTCAATAACAAAATAAACACACCACAAAAATGACAGCGGTGAGAGAGCAGCCGTTAGGAAAGCATCTGATCATAGCAATGTGGATATGTCTGCACCAGCTCTGCAGTTCAGCGGCAGTTTAAGTAATTAAAATCATGCTAGTATGATAGTTTGATTATAAAATAGCCTATATTTGAGATTATATAGATCTGGCTATGTGATACTATAGTTTGAATTAATCCATTTTCATTGTATTACACATTGACATTACAGTACAGATACACACACTAGTAGATGCATAATAATAGATATATGATATATTTTGATAATATATTATATTTAATCATATATTTAATAAAATGTATATACTGTATATATATATATATATATATAATAAAACAATTATATAGAGTTTAGATAGATAGATCGTTGTTCTCTGTCTTTCCTTCTGATTTCATAATCTGTGTACATCTTTGTGCGCTCTCTCTCTCTCTCTCTCTCGCTCTCTCTCGTATACTACTTTTCAGCCTCCCTCTCTCTATCTCTGCAGAGTTGAGCTGACAGGGAAACTTCAGTGCTCCAAGTGCTCGGAGTCTCTTGCTGAATTATTTACAGACTGGGACCCCCGAGTGCTTATGCCACCCCTCCCTCCCCTTAACCCCTTCCTCTCTCCTTTCCTCTTTGTCTCCTGCCATTTGCTGCTGGCAGCTTTCTCTAACTTATGTGATTTTGACACACTGACTGACTTCAGCTGTCGTGAAGAACACTATTTAGCAATGGATTTGACTGAATAGGTTTTTCCTGTCAGTTCTAAATGCAATGTGAAGGAATAACTAGGGAATACTGTGGTCTCAGTCGGCTATTAGGAAATACGAGAAACAGACATTTTCTTTGCGAAAAGAGGTGGGTGAGAATGAATATATTCACAAAGACAATATATTTTGTGCTCAACCTGATCAGATGAGTACGTACATACATTTACAATTGTTCATATGGCAGATGTTTTTTTCAGAGCTGACTTACTGCACATACAATGCATTCCAGGTTTATATTTTAGTATGGGTGATCCCTGGGAAATGGCATTGCTGCACTATGCTCTGTCAGTTGAGCTCTTAAAACATATCCCATTTGCTATTTTACTTATGCATTAGTCCTATTATTTAATTTATTTAATATTATTATTTATGTTTTCTTCAGTGTCACATGATCCTTCAGAAATCATTCTAATATGTTGATTTGGTTTCTGCATAGAAAATAAAGCGAGTAATATATATATATACTGTGTATATATATATATATATATATGGTTATAGCTTGTGTATAGTGTATGATTAAGCACAATAGATCTGTTGTGGTTCTGATATGTTAATGTTCTCTTTAGGAACATTTATGTGTGAATGTGAAAGAGACTGAGAGATTTAACAAATTTAGCACAATCTGCTTTATTTCAGGCTTTGCATTGTACAAAGGCAAAATCTTCAGTGAACATGCGTTTTTCCCATCACATTTCTCTCATATAGATTAAACAAGAATCAGTTTTAGCATCCTTTAAGATTAAAATGGAACCTGTTACCTTTAAACAAAAAGACAGATAAATGTAACTTCCCATCACCAAGACAGTGATGCCACATTCGGTACGCCATGAATCCAAGTATAACTGCACGGTCAGTAAATCCATTCGACATCACACTATTCCCAAACTCAAACCAATCAATAGAAAGTTTTATCACGTACAGACAAGAATATTAGCCAATCAACGGCAATGACTCATTTATCTGATGAACGAGCCAGCTTCAATTTGCTGTATTGATCCTAACTAACGATCTAACCTCAGCTATCCAGTAACTGCCAATGTGTGGTAAAGTGTTTTTTTTTTTCAGAAGAAAAAATAATATGAGAATTCAGCTATAATTCAAAACTAAATCTACACTACAGATCCTAAAAATATCAACTGTGCAGATTCTGGCCACTTCAATGCTTTGTTTAAGGGAGTAAAATGTGTGTCTCTTCAGGGAAAGTAACACAATGGAGTGATACTGTTGCAGTTTACTGCTGCTGCCAGTAGGAGGAGTTTAGAAGCAAGTCACTCCTTCAGGCACAAAATTAGATCAGTAAAATTATTGGGAATGAATTTATGAGGCCGCAGTTCCAGCGCACTCAAACAAGGGATGAGGAAATAACAAAACAAAAGTATGCAACAGATACGCATTACGTAAACTGTTGCATTTAAACTACAGTTTCATTGAAATACATTTCCTTCTTTGGACTTTCTAGTGTCGTATGTGAGTAAAACCCTGTTTTCAAAGGAGCAAAAACACAAGTTCCACTTGTTCACTTACTCCTTTCCATGAATACATCTACATACATACAGTAAGACAAAGAGTTTTAAGCTGTGCTTTGCTGGCATGTGATTGGCAGGCTCCATGGTATTGTACATTCACATCTTTGCACCAGAGAACGCTGTGAATATGTATAAGTTCAGCATGTGTTTGTGTGTGTGTGTTTAGTGTGTGCGTGGCATGGGGTGCTGCAGGGTCATGTGTTCTGCCCCGGTGAAAGGTAGGCGCTGGGTACAGTAGTGGTGCACTACTTCTGGGATGCTTGGGAACACACAGCTGCTCTTTTCCAGTGTGTAGCCGCACTCTTTAGTCTGCGCTACGATGATGTGCACGCATCCTTGACTTGTCCTGTCGAGAGAGGGGAATAAGGATCTTATATCATCTACGTCAGCTTTTCAGGACTGCTAACTCATTTCTTGTTCTCTTGATTTCAGAGATACACAAGCATGCACTTACTTCAGGGCGATG